TCACGCAGATAAAGCGGATGGAAGCGATCGAGAGAGCCCTTATGGTTTTAGCGAACATAATGAATTTACATTATCGCGACGATTACGCGACGAAACTCTTCTCGCCACGCCGAGTCGAGAAGTAACTTTTTGTGTATAATGTTGTGCCCACTTATCCAGTTCGCTCGCGCGTTGTAGTTTTATCGTACGAGCACCGAAAGAAGCCAAATGCGACTCCGACTCATTGATTTATCGCCAAAAACCGGTTATTATCCACACATAAATTCGACCGAGCCAACAAAACGGCTTACATTGTAAACTTAAAGCTCAATTCGTGTTTCTCGAGGGAACGAGGAAGAGGGTATCCGATACTCTGTTCGCTTTTTCGCTGAGATTACTTATGCCCGCAAACAGGATATCTCTTTGAATACGACGTTCTGTTTTCCTCTCATCGTCGAGGAGATTCCCGAAATTCCGTACGTTCTCTCGCGCACACCTACGAGCGTGTTTGGGGTTTTCCGCGTTTCTTGCTCGAGCAGCGGGGAGAAGGAGCCCGAAATGCAAAATCGACGATTCTCGCCTTCGGCGCACCGCTTAAAAGTTATTTGTCTCGTTCAGAGAGATCCTGTTCTCGCGCGAATTCGCGCGTCCACCGAAGCGGCGAATATTGCACGGGGTATATACACGGGGCGGTTACATAAATTCAATTTGTAATCCGCCCTGTGTTGCGATTTTTCGCCGTCACGCGAGCGCGAGATCATATTTCGTCGTGCGCCAGCGCGGATAATCCCCGACCAGCGACGGCTTTCGTGTTCACTACGTGAACGAATTTCGCGTCCAGACCGCGCACGAGGGATTAACAAATAGAAGGACCTGCCGCCGTACGGCATACTTCTTTTATTCCCGCGGAGACGGATGTTAATGTCGTGGGACTTTCCTAGCCGCGACCTGTAGCCGGTCGAATAATTCTATCGCTAGATGCACGAGCGACCCCGGCTGCGAGGCAAATCATCGTGAGCTAGACACGAGCGCGTGGAAAGTGAAATCCTCCCGACACTGTATCGATCACGTTCGCCATGAAACGAAGAGAATCTTAACTTGCGATCTGTGGCTTCTTCAGAGGACTCGTGAATCTCCGCGAGATTGGCGACGCGCGCGAAGTCGCTTCGTATACTTTCAAATTCTAACAGATGTCTAATTTCTGTTTCTTTTTTCTCGCTTTCTTTTTTTTTTTTTTTTTTTTTTCCACGGCGGACCGCATGGGGAGAGATTTCTACGTGACGAAGAAGACGCTCGAGCGTCTCCGGATTAACGTAGTTGAGCGGCGATGAGAAACGCCTTGCGCGCTAGCGAAACCCAATCACTCGGTAAGGATATTTGCGATGTTTTATGCTGATTCAGCCGTCCGGCGTACGAAGGTTGCCTGTAAACAAGCTAAGCAGAGCGGTAGTTTTGCGTGTCGCTAATTTCGCACACGCGTTGTTTTTTCGCGCAATACCACGGACATAATTATTCGTGGGCCGGCGGAGAGAGAGGGAGAGAGAGGGAGAGAGAGAGAGAGAGAGAGAGAGAGAGAGAGAGAGAGAGAGAGAGAGAGAGACATGGTTAATAACAAATGACACCGCGTTTCCGTTCGTTCGACACCACCACGGCGATGTGTTGTCGTCGTCGCGGCGGGTTTTCTTTTTTTTCTTTTTTGTTTTGCCGATGCTTTGCCCGCTCGCTCCTTTTCCTCTCACATTGGTACGTTAAGTACCAAAGTTAACGTTTGCCTTCGAGCACTTTGCAGCCACTTTTGCGCCTGCTGTCGGGCGTAAAGGAGCGCCAGATTATACCTTGCGTGACCAGTCGTTCGGCAAACGACACTCGTTTCACACGTGCATTCCATCGGAATGCCTGCCTTCGCAGTCGCCAAAGACGGCCTGAGATACGCATAATGAAAGCGAGAGAGCGAGGCGTTAAAATCTTCTAAATATAAGTCGCGCGTGTCGCTTCGCAGAAGCAAAACGGTGCGGCAAGAGGAGACAATCGTGCAAGCAGATTCTCGATCCACCGAGGAGTCATCGCGCTGCCATGCAAATGATTGCGACTTGTCAATCTGCGATCGAGAATCGCGTTCTGTCACTGTTTCGTTGACATTACATGCGTTATTGCTAGGCGTAGGCGTGTCTGATCGTTATCTAGTTGTCGTTTCAAGGCATTTTCTACTTCTCGACGACTCTCGTTCTACAGTGTGTTTAATGTTCATTGTCCAACGCGAAATTACGTGTACGGTGCACGTAATGCAGAAAGCGAACGAAATCGTAAATTATCGCTCTCCACGGTTAATTTTCGGCCCTCGTCGTTTTTGGCAGAGAAGCGTTTGGCAGAAAACGTGGAACGTGGTGGCCGGTAAGGCACAAATTGAGGTTTAAGAAAAAGCACTCGGGTAAAGTGTCGCGGGGATTAAAATTTATAACAAGCTGCCTCGGATTGTCGGAATGTCTAATTTTTATTTCACACGCCAAATCGTCCGCGATGTCCGCGCCCGAAAAACATTCGCTAACTCGTTGACACATGTGTGTTCTTGTCATAAAATCTAGTCAAAATTTTCAAGCGACATAAAAGATCCCGGAAGACGCGTGCTATAAAATCTTTGTTAGACGTTATAATTTATCCCATTCATAAATCCCCCCAGAATCCACCCAGGTTGGGACGGGAATTCGCATCGGAGGGACAAACACCCATTCCGACGGCGGGATTTCATATCTATCGCGCGAATAAAGCCGTAAGCATCTAAAATGACGAGAATTATGGAACACGCGCGTAAAGTGATCAATGGCTCGCAGGTGTCTGCTTCAGCCGTTCCGTTCCGAGAGATATAATGCGTGGTGCAAAAGCACGCAGATTGTTCTTTTTTGCGACAGTCCCGACACCCGCAAAACGCATTTCATTTTTACAACTTTAACATCGTCACGAGGCTGATGAACGGGCGGCTGTTTGTCGTAAACATGCACGGCATGAGAATCGCGAAACGTAATCGGAAAACGTGTGGCTCCTGTGTGTGGAGAGGGAAAGAGAGAGAGAGAGAGAGAGAGAGAGAGAGAGTGAGAGGGGGCGGAAATATAAAACATAAAATAAAAAGTGAATGTTATTCGCGTTTGCCAAACGGGAGAATCGAATCTTTTCGAGTAAATGTGTGTCGTGTATTTTTTCTTCTTTATGATACGCATACGCGATGAAGTTGATCTATCCCAACGATTGCTTCGCGCGTGAAAGTTAAAAGTATCGACAGTATAAGTGAAACTGAATCTTTTACCATGAATAAACCATCAACTTTAGTGTTTCTGCGACTCTTGTGCCCAGTGGCAGACTTTGGTAAAAGTTGAATCGTTACGCGCGCTCGTGACTTTATAGTAATTAGCAGGCGCGTATTAAAATGCAAACTCGATATCGCGGATCTAACGGAGGAACAAATTGAGCCGCTTGACGCCATTCACCGCGCACACTGTTCCGTGTAACGTGAAGTGAAACGGTAAGGTAAAGTAGTCACAGCGTATGAAAACGATATCGCGTTACAGAGCGGAACTCGCGGAATAGTCGAGTGTCCTTGCATAGGGTGTCCTAGAAACATCAGTTTCGATTTCAACGATACACCTCACGGTTCATCTCGAGAAGAGCGATTTTCGACTGAAATCTCGCGCGACGTTGCTTCCGTATCGGAGAAACTGTGTAATTATGCGTGACGCGCTATTGTCGGGCCACGTTTTTTCTCTTTTCTTCTTTTTCTTTTAAACGCGAGTAAGGTCGACGTCTCGTCGTGTCTCAGGGAACCGTCGGCGTGCGTTCTCACGAGCGATAATTACTGCATAGTTAACGTCGGCCTATCGGCATATAGCAACTCTCCGCGAGTCGTCGAGAAACTTTTCATCTGGCGGCGTCATTTTCCACAAACTACTGTCGACGCGCGATGCATACATATGGGAACAATATTGTTCGTCGTTTCTCAACCGGCGAGCGGGGTCGTTAAAACTCCGTTTTTGCATTACATAAAACTTGGACAGGTGTCAAGCTTATTGGGCATTCGCGGTGAGCGGTATTACAGTTTGTACATGGCCGTCCGTAAATCTAACTGCTTCTCCGATGCCTTTTACCAGCGTGGCTCGATTATTGAGACTGCTGTCCGTTAAGGCGGCTCGCGGTATACGCACTCGTGCATTGAACTTGTTTATCTCTCGAGAGGAAGAGAAAGAAGGAGAAGGAGCAGAGGACAGTCGTTGATCGGGTTGAGAGAAATGGTGTGCCGAATGCAGTCTCGCAGTCGTAAATCGCTCGGTAAAATTGGAATAAATCGCACACGGCAGTTTCTCCCAAAGTCCAGTTTCTTTCCAAACGGGAAGCTACAAAGAAATATTAGTTCTGAAAACGCTCTAGAATTCCAAGAAGGGTGGGGCAGCTACCGACGAAGAGAAAGACACCTAATGATATCACGGCATAAACTGGTCTCCGCGCGCTCGTGCAGAATTTGTCCGTAAGCGCGCATAATTTACCGTCAGCTCATTAAGTCACTCGGCTCCTTCGATCGATCGTCTCGCGCGATTCCTCGGCGCTCATTATGATTACCATTTACGCGCGGCTTCTCTTGTGTCTGCTTGCGTACGCGTTTCCCGCCAAACCGAGAGGATGTCCGCCGCTCGCGGCGTGGCGTGAAAGTGTCGTCCCCGTGTGTCCCTCGCGAGGCGAGGGATCCCCGGGAGGCGCGGAGATCGAGACGCGGATGAGCAGCAACATCCAGCAGCCAGCTGTATGGCGGAAGAAACACGACGACAGAGTAGAAAGCAGCGGCGGCGGCCCACAAAAAGCGGAAGACACGCGTGATTTCCGCGGTGCTGTGTCGTCGCCTCCCCCCCCCTCCCCTCCCCTCCCCTCCCGACGATCGCCCTCGAGACCTCCGAGACCGCGCCGAGGCCGCGGCGAGGTAAGACGTTACTGCATCGTGAATTAACGGAGTAACGAAAGTTCGTAGCCGCAAACGGACTTACGTCTCTAACGAAATCCTCGCGACAATCGTTGGGAGCCTGCTCCTCCGCCTTCTTCTCTTGCTGCACATTGATGCGAATCGCCGACATGCTACGGGATGTCGACCCACCCCCGTGAAACCACCCTGTTAGAGCGCTCTCCTCCGGATTGCCGAAAGTCGACGATCTCTCCTCCGGAATCCTCATTCGGTATCTTATATTCGGCAGACGCTCCTACGTTCGTTGAGACGAATGAGATCACCACTCCTCGGCGCGACACGGCTGTTGATCTCTCTTTCTCTGTTCTTTACGTTGTACGATTAATCCACGGAGATTCCACAAGAAACCCACTCGGTCGATCACCCCCGAAGAACGAATCGATCGATCGATTCCTCGCGCCGGTGCTCCGTGCTGCGACTATCGTGTGTCTACGCGAGATCCTCGTCTCTCTCTCTCTCTCTCTCTCTCTTTCTCTCTCCCTCTCTTTATCCTCTCTCAGCCTTCTCGATATCAAGAGGACGAGTGTGGTCCCAGGGAATGTGTCCTCAGAGCTCTCGTCGTCCTTTCTCTCCCTTGGAAAACAGGACAGGAAGCCTTCCGTCGAACTTGTTCCCTCTGGACCCGCGAACGCGATTCACGCACGCGAGAGCCTCGCGCGCGCTCTCTCTCTCTCTCTCTCTCTCGCTAGACCCCTCCGCGAAAATCCAGCACGGAATCACCAGCGAGGGACGACCAGGTGCCGCCGATCGATGTACGTACGCACTCCGTGTTCTGTGTGCGTACGCGCGCCTGTGAGAGGGGAGTACCGCACGCCGTACCGTGATCGTCTCTCTCGCACGTGTGCGACTAGAGCCGCCGCCGCATCTGGCCTTTGGACTGGCTGGTACCAGTCCACCAGATCGGTTTTATACCTTCGTATCTCCCACTCTCGCGAGCGAGCGAACGAACGAACGAACGAACGCGGACGCGAGCGCGAGCATGAGCGCGAACGCGAACGCGCTCGTTCCGCGGCGCGTCGATGATTCCGCACACCGGATAGTTCCACCGGGCAGCCACGGCCGAGAGAAGATCGAGCTTTTTTTCTCTGGCTCTTCTCTTTTCCTCCTGTTCCTCGCCGGACATACGTGACAAACGCAGCAAAGGCACGCACGAATACCGCGTCGCTAAGGCTAAGGCGTCGCGCGTTTCTCCACGCGCGAGCGGGACTCCGCCACGGGAGAGCAAGGACGTACGAGGGAGAGCGAGGGAAGGGACCGGTTCGTACCCTAAGTTGATCCGGTTGACGTATGATCGGCCAACTGGTCGCTCGGTAAATCGGTCGATCGATCGATCGAGTCCGTTCGGTCGTCTCGCGTTCGCGCGGATACAGGAAACATATACGTGTACGTGGTATGGCGTATATCTCCGAGCACGTTATCTCCTCCCCGCATCCTGTCGCGCACGCGACACAGACTGCGTAACGAAGTCGAGGAAGTGTGTGGGCTCTCACTCTTATCTCCCTCGGATTCCGCGTGCTCTTGATTCCGCGTGTATAACCGCGGACATAGCCGGGCCGACGGGAAACTTACTCTCGTCGTCGTCGTCGGCTACGAGGGGGAAAAAGGTGCGTACGTTTGGCTTATCTCGACTTCCGACATTGCTCTTATTATCGTGGGTAGAGCCGGGTAGGATCGGGTTCGGCCTGGCACGCCCTGGCGCGCCAGGCCTATTCATCGACGCGCATCGCGCGTCTTTCTCCTTATTACGCAAATTATTCGAGACGAGTAACGACAACAAACGACATCCCACGAATGAATGGCGATAATGACGCATTGTGCATCGTCGCGTGGCAATTTAATTTGCGATCTTATTAACGCGTGTGCACTTTATGTACGCTGTGAGGCGCGCGAAGGGTCGTGGTGCAAAAAATGCAAAAAAAGAAGCAATCGATACTCGTTTTCTTAAGCGGACTCGGTGTAAATATAAGATCCTTGATGAAGAAAAATGCCGTCAATGAGACATTAAGTAGCCTCGCGTTGTCGTTAAATTAAACATTCACTCTCGTCTGTCAGGAGCGTGTCCATCACTTTTATTTCAGCCCGTAATGAAAGATCTGTCTTCCTTCTCCTCTGTGCTTTTCTCTCCTTTTTCTTGTTTCATTTCCGCAACAAAGTATCGGCATGTTCTTGTACTTCGTAACTCACATTGCGTCCTTCGGCATGTTTGTCGGTTGTAAACAGCAACGGCCGGAAGAGGGCTCGACATATTTTCTTGCGTGTTCTGGTTCACCTTATATTTATTAACACGTCGCTAGTCCGCAGAATCTGCATCCGTCTCGTCTCGTCTCGTCTCGTCTCGTCCCGTCTCTCGTCGAGAGCACGTCGGTGCACGCGAACGCGCAGATGTATAATTATTTTCTATGCGAGTATCGCATGACATCGAAGTATTACCAAAAGAAGACAGAGAACGAGAGACGGAGAGAGAGAAAGGGGGGAGAGGGAGGGGAGGGAGAGAGTAGGAAGTGCTTGCGCGCGCTTATCCTTCCTGTCGCAAATCCGTTCCTTGTTGTTGCAAGCGGTTTCGCGTAGGTGAAGAAGGACCGTTAAGCTGCAAGTCAATTGACTTGTCTCTCTCTCTCTCTCTCTCTCTCTCTCTCTCTCTCTCTCTCTCTCTCTCTCTCTCTCTCTCTCTCTCCCGCACGTGTCACACTCGAGAATAAGAAAGAGATAAAAAAAAAGAAAACTACACGGTTGCGGTGCGAAGGTACTTACCGCCTTTTCGCATTTCCGCGCCCGCATATTACCGGCCTTAGCGGCCGTCGAAAACAATCGCGCGAATGCCGTCATTGCATAATCCATCAAAGATGCCGAGGCGTGCGAATCGCGTATGCCTTTTTTTCTTGTTCTTTTTTTCCATTCGGACCGGATAGAATGGAAAACGCGACCGTGTGGCTAAAGCGTGTGTTTATCGATATTTCATAACGTTGGACGCGGATACGCGCGACAGGCTGGCGCGTGGGAGGCTGAGAGAGAGATTCCCACATAAGTGGTTCCCCACACGATGATCGTATCGTGTGCGACGTGTATAACTCCCCCACTCGCGTGTCCGGGCTTAAATCCGGGTCGCGACGAAGGTGACGAAGGTGGTCGTGTCGTCGAAACGTCCAATTTTCCGACAGGTTTCGAACGATGCTCCAAGTTGATCCGTGAGTCGATCGCGTCTGTGATCTTACAGAATCTTACAGGTGTAAATTACGCGTAAATCACCGGCGTGACTTCCGAATTATCGCAGTCTCACGAAAGCCGGCGCGGCGTAACAGCACGACCGAGTGCTCTTTGCGCAATGTTTGTCGTGCCGGGGGATCGGTCCGTTTCGTAACCTTGAATTCCGATGACCAAAGGTATAACACATCTCACCGGCACATCATCCGGCCGAGACGCGCGTGAAGCCGCGTCGCCCTTCGATCTCTTCTGAGAAGCTGCCTGACGTGTTCCATCTCGATCGAATCGAGATTGACTCACGCGATCGCTCGTCGTCGTCGTCGTCGGTCCACACACGTCGTGGCCATCCGTCACGGCCGAGACAAGGTGCACCAGACTGTTAGCGCATGCCGCGCAAATTAGACCTAGGTTGATCGGTGCGCGTTCGGTTCTCCGCGCAAAATTAGATATTCCGATCACAAGAGAGCCGCGTGCGTATCTGCGTGCATCGCCGCCGCCGCCGCCGCCGCGCCGCCACGCCGCTGCTCCACTTTGGGCAAGGACTAACGCGCGCCCAGTTTCCTTCCCGAACCGCTTCCTTCCTACTGCTCCCCCCCGGCTCCTTTCCCGCGCTCGCGTCGTTTAGCTCTCGCGCGATCTACGAGGTCGCGATCTCGATCGTCGGAGTCAAGTGCACCGCGCCGCCCCGCCTCGCGAACGACCTCCGGTCGTTCTTCCCAAGGCGAAAAGTTACGTAGTCGATGAACGCGCGACCTGATCTCTCTTTCGTGCGCACTCGCACTCTCGTTCTCTCTCTCTCTCTCTCTCTCTCTCTCTCTCTCTCGCGCGCGCGCGCGTAAACTAGGCATCACGGACGTTTCGCGAAATTTGCTGTTTAAACAGAGCGCGGCACGTGTTGGCGGGCGCGTATATTACGCCGTCGATCACACTCGTCAGACCGTGCCCGACCTTGTTGCGTCCGTCGGATTAATTATCGGAACTTTGCGCTTTTTCATAATGAGGAGAAACCGCGAATGCTCTTTCTCTCTCTCTCTCGCGCGCGCGTGTTAGTCAACAACGGATGCGAATCAGCCGACTGTGGCCGTGAAATCAAGAGGAGAATATCTTATCATCAAGATATTAATCGAGATATTAATGGACTGGAATATTCTCTTTTTTTCGAGCCCTTCGGCTCGCAGTCGCTTGCGCGGCGGCGATTTTCTCTTAGATATCTGAAAACGATATTACAAATGTAGTACCACCGGTTTCTTCAGCGGTGTGTTTATTATACGCGGGGAAAAACCATCTGAGATCTTATCCAATTAATCAAAGGTTCCATGCACGAAAGATGACTGACCTTTCTTTCGTGCGCAATTAGACCGTACACTTTCTTGCCACTTATACTAGTCTAACTGTATACTAGAAGACAAAGTATCGTACCGCCGCGTGTCAACGAAGGAGTTATTCGCGTAACGAGCCGATTAAAGTTATTAGCCGTATTTCGCAATACGGACATTAATCGTCGTCGTCTACCAGTTGAGACTGAAAGAAACAGTGAGGAAGGATTACCGTCTCCGGAAAAAAAAAAGGAACGAGTACATCTTTGCCTCTCTCTCTCTCTCTCTCTCTCTCTCTCTCTCTCTCTCTCTCTCTCTCTCTCTCTCTCTCTCTCTCTCTCTCTCTCTCTCTCTCTCTCGCTCGCTCTCTCTCTCTCTCTCTCTCCCTCTCTCTCTCCCCTCTCCTTCTCTCTTTCGCGCATACGCACGCAATTTGTACGGTTCCATTAATGGCGATTGCACAGCGATTAAAATTTAAATGCAATTGTGAGTTACCGCTGCGCGTCATACGGCCTACGCTCGCCTTTTGATTTAGCGCGACTTGCGCGCCTATCGATCACGATCGATCAGAGGAGCGTCTCCGGCTGAACTCGCCAGAGTAGCGCATCTCGGAGACGACAGACTTGTTCTTTCCAGCTCACCTAGCGCTGCACTGTACATTTTGTTTTTTTCCTCCATTTGAGGCTAGATCACATGCACTTGTCTCACTCTTTCTAAAAGTGAAAAATGCAACTTGAAAGTTGAAAAGCCTCGACTGAAAAGAACAGTCCTAATAAAGACGGCACTTTGTTGCGCCGATACGCACACACGCGCGCGCGCGCGCGCAAAATCCCGTCTCCTACGCGAGACTCGGCACGCGGAAAGGGTTGGTATGCGGAAGAAGGGTTGGCTGTCCTTTCATTGACGGAAGCTGGCAGGGGCCGGCCGGGACTTTTTCTACTCGAGCGCGAGTTAACCGAGCTTTGTCTCGTGAATCTATCGGCTCGTTTCGGCAGGGCAAGGTCGCACTTTCGACAGCTTCCTGATCCATGTCGCGCGCCGCTGAGGAATGCGTACACGCGGCCCTGCGTGCAAAAACACGCACGTTCAATGGTGTATCGATCGTTTGCGAACGCGAGCAAGGTCGAAAGGGATTGGCTACCTCGCTCTCTCTTTCCTCTACGTCAACCTCGCGTTGCGCTGCGGTGCGCTACGCTGCGTTGCGCTGTGGTGCGCTGCGCCGCGTTGCGCTGTGCTGTGCCGCTCCGCGCCACATTTGTGCTCTCGCCGTCTTCGTTTTCCCGGCCCGAGTCTCCCATCTCTCTTCTTGCACTAGCGTATTTTGTCGGCAGCCCACTCCCCAGCTCGGCAGCGCGAACCTTCGCTCGGAGAAATTAATTGCGTGTCCGTCTACCTGTCCCTGCGTACCCCA